GAGGACTCCCTTACAAGGGCTTAATGGGGAGGTGCGGCCAGCCAGGGTATGTTTTTCGGGATTTTTGTCTTAAACAGGGTATCGAATTTATCATTTTTTGTCTTAATCAGGGTATCGATTTATCAATTTTTGTCTTAAACAGGATATCTTTTCTTGGACGATAAACAGTAAATTTTTTACAAGCTCTAATGTTAATTAATATTGACTTCCGTTGACTTTGGCATTTGGAATTCTGTCTTAAACAGGGTAGGAAAATCAGCGATATTTGTCTTAAAGAGGTATGAAGGGCCGCACCGCACCTCCCCACCCAGGGATATATCGAGTACTCCCCCCCGGGGGATAGACACCTTATTCTGTCTTAGGATAATGCTACAAGTTACTTTCTTTGATTTCAGAGAAACGTCTATTAGCTTATGAGTGCTCACTCATACTGCAGTTTTACAAGAGATAAATGAAAACTGAACTGAAATAAGTTTCATTAGTTCCAGAGAGCCAACTTAACCGAGAAAGATCTAAGAATCCTGAAACTTTTCTTGGTGCTTGTATCGTACTAGAAACATTTTTCGATGTGTTCCTAACGTATGGAGGTATTTCTTTGGCAGGGGCAGGAAAATGGCTAAAATTTCTCCAGCATTAATTGACCATAAAGCTGCGACACCAGCACTGAATTTTCGTGGAATTTTCGGCATAACGCTATGATTTTTAGTGTGACGCTGAAAAGTATACTAAGTATAACGCTCAAATCTTTGGGCATTATGTGTCTGACCTGGTAGAGAACTACATACAGAAGGATGACACGGCTTTTAACAAAGAGTTTGCATAAGATGATAGTGTTTTGTTCAAGAATGTGGAGCTGGTGAAGCATTTTAAGTTAACGGTTATTCAATGCAACGTGCATGTGTACCAGAACTGGAACACATGCAGACATGGCGTCCAAACCCTGAGATAAGGGGGTGGGGAGGGGGGGGCACTGGATCCGCCACTGTTTACGAACTTTCAGTTATGGACGGCAGACTAAACCCGAGACTAAACACATTCAGTTTTCATGGGGTTAGACGCAATGGACATACGATGATACAATGTAGCCTTCGCTCATTTTCAATTTCTACTGCTCAACAAGTAGCCTGTTCCAGGCTCCGAGATAGTCGGGTTTGGTGAATGGAGAAAGTGCGAACTTGAAAACAGGAAACTGCCCCGCCAACTTTTTCGTGCCTTTCACTTTCGCGTCAAATGAAGGCCTGCATTAGTTATTTGCATTTAAGACAAAGGAATATCTAAGCATCCGTTCTATTTTCATTTGGCGGTTTTGTAATGCCATTAGTTAAATTCAAAAAATCTAAACGTCAGTTTCTTAGAATAACTTGTAGAACGTACATGGCTTGAACGTTTATGTAAACTTTACTACCCTCGTTTTTGCTTAGTTTAAATGCAAAATTCTATTAGCTGCGATTACTGTCTGACTTTAACCAGTCTTTTCTAGCAATCTCTACAGGCAACCCTTATTTGCGCGGTTATGCATACCGGCAATGATTTAGGTTCGAGCAAACACGTCGGTTATATTCGCAGTTGTGTGTATTCGCAAAAGGAGTCCACGTTTACAAAAGCACAATTTTTTGCACGAATATTCCAATGGACTTTTAAATCAATTCCATGCTTTTGTAAACAGAATCAGTAATGAAACTGTCTGATTGGCATTAAATTTCCATTTGTCAGCCATTTGTACCCTTCTTAAAAAAGGCTATGATTTAAAACTGACTTCAAAGTTTAGATAAGAGCGGAAGAAATATCCGACAGAAATTATTTTTTGTCTTGCTTCTGTATTGCACTCAGTTTTAATAACAAGCTAAGATTGTGGTTCCTTATTTTCAAGCATATATTCAAATCAGTAAACTCCAGATGGTCCTTTCAACAATAACGCCCTAAATAACGTGAAATTTTGTTCATTAAGGTAATTTGAAAACACCACTTTCAAATAGAATCGAATCGAATCTCATCGGATCACAGCATTATGTTTTATAACCTGCCTTCGAAACACGTCGTGGCCTCGGTGGTCTGTTTGCAAACAGACTACTACGTAGTCCGTTAGTTTGCACAACTAAAACAACATCGAAGGTTTTTTAAATTATAGTCTACTCACCGCTTTTCGTAGAGTTTAACGCTCGTTTTCCCAATTTTCACATAGGATCAGAATATGACGCGACGTTGGAGATCCATTATCGGGAATTTTAACTGGCTCCTAAGCAACACGTCGGAAAAGAGAATCAGCTGCTATGAGATCGAGAATCAAACGTCACATGGCATGCATCAGCCCAAATTAATCTAATCGATGCGTCATCGCGCTTTAAGCTAAAAACAAAAAAATGCTTTTAGGCAACAAATATTATGCGCATTCACGTGTAACCAGGTGGAGAGGAGTGCCAAACTTGTTTAGTCTGTTTAAATCCATGCGCATTAAGGATTCTTAATACAGACAAATTTGTCAAAGAGCCGATTTTGCAGACATCAGTATTTTAACCTCGTACGTGGTGCAATTTCCTTAATCCTTGCTGTTAACTGGCGTTGAGTATTTTACAAGTTTAAAGATCGTTATGTTAATGAAACCTATCAATGCTTTGGGTCAAAAGACTGTCAAAAGATCGTTAAAACGTTCAAGTGGGTGTATGAAAAATGATCGCGGTTGGCTGCACTTAGCAGCCTCTTTCGAAGAAAACAAAATTATGCATAACGTACATTGTTTTGCCTAAATGATTACCGCTGTGCAGGAAATGACTCTTATATGACATCAGGGACACCAGTATTCCCACTCAACTGTCGGCTTGCTTTTAATGATCGCACCATTATGTCTCGTGAGCCTTCATGCCTCGGGAATATCACATTTTTATCCATTTCAAAAGAAAATAAATAAATAAACTGACCAAGGCCTAAAGATTATTAAGGCAACTACCAGCCGTACTTGTTTTTTTTTTCTTTTCAATATGGCTTTATTTCTTTGCAAAGCTGCACCCGCACAAAGGACCCTGACGTAGGATAAACCTTCTTTTGTATCAGCTTGTACAAACTCAAACAATTGCGGGTCACCAGGGCGTAAATTTACAATCAGTTAAAAAAGTCAAACTCTCTTTGCTTTACAGTTTAAACTGGCCGATCTTCTCTATCACATCAAACAACGCATCTTCGTCGTTGTAAGCGTCGCAGAGGCTTACTCTACTATCAGCATCCACTTGAATCACTTTCCATTCTTTGAAGATACGTATCGCGTTCCTTAATGGTTCCACAGAACAGCTCTCAGCTAAAAACACAACGAAAAACAAAAAAAGATAACGGTTATCAAAACCAATTGTTATAGTGTATTATTTTTAGATCGTTCTCTTCAGAAATGATGGCGCCGAAGAAAAACGTTATCGTGCTAGAAAATGACATAAACCCATGTTTCAATTCCACACAAACACAGCAGAGTCAATTGATCTCTTTTGCTTTATGTTTTCCCAATGAAGGTTTCAGGGGAATTTAACCTCTATCTTTTCATAAATTAGACGCACATATCAACGGAAATAAGACGAAATTTGAAAGAAACAGGTCTCTATCTAGAGTATTACCACTTGAACTACATTAGAACTAAAAACATGAAAGCTAAAGAGGTCTATTTTAAGGAGACCATCAGCTTTCTACCACAGGTAACCTGTAAAACGAAGCAGTGTTTTTGTGATTACTTACGAAAGAAAGTCACTTCCTCTTGAACTCGTTCCTTTGCGCAAGCGTGAAGAGCAGTCAAAAACTCGGTTTCTAAACAACAGCAAGATAAAATGAACACTGTTAATTTAAAGACTGCTTTCAATAAGATGGAGCCCTATTTTTGCTGAAAAACGCCCTACATGCGATCATACGGATACCAGCCTTTACGACCCAAGAGTGACCAACATCAGTTTTCTCCTAACAATGTTCCATATATTATCAACCGAAACGGTTATAAGAATAAATAAAATGATCAACAATGGGAAAATGCTTTGATCTTTTATCGCATTCTCTCCACTAATTCTTTAAGGAATTATATGGAGACCAGTATGGAGAATTTGTACGTAAATATCAGGGCCGGGTTGTTCAAAGGAGGGTTAATATAACCCGGGGTTAGTGCAAAATTTGAGTTCAGATATTAAAGCTTAAAAAGCAAAATCAGTTTTATTCTTTTTCTCTACAGTTAAATGATTGAATGGCCTAAAAAGGATAGAGAAAATAATCCGGGAAAATGTTTTTGAACAAACGAAAAAGAAAACCAAGTTAAAATTTAACCCTGGGTTAGCTATTCAGCCTTCGAACAACTAGGCCCTGGACTCAAAGAGAGACTTTTTTTTCAGCGATCCTAGCGAGCCGGTAGAAATAGTATGCAAATACCAGGTTTTATGACAAAAATGCTTGCATCATTTCTCAAAGAGCTATTTTACATTTTAAGTCAAGCCAGGTCAAGCGTACCCCAACAGATTCCATGTATGAACTAATATTCACAAATTAAACCGTTGGTCGTTGCTGCTACTGACGCAGTATAAAACTCAAATATGAATTTCTACGCGTATGATAATGAGCAGTAAAATATAGACTGTATTCAACTGCCTGTATCTCTGCCAATTCGGTCAGATTGAAAAATCTTACACCCGAATAAAATTCCTTTGATGATATTTGCCTCAATTTAAAAAAGAAAGCTTAGCTGAGACAAATTTTAACGACCTCGCGTGTTAATTCACTGCTCATTGCGTATGCAAGAGCGAAGAAATGGATGAATCGGATATTATTAACAACGACTAACTAACGGTTTGATCATCAAATAATGAACCCATCAATAGAATCTGTGGGGTACGCTTCACCTGGCTTGACTATAATGACACAATTACAAATTTAAATTAGTCAGGTGTTAAGAACAATAATAGTTCGAGTAATATTTAACAATTAGTAGGGCACTGTGCCTGAGCTATAAGACATGAAACTCAAATAAAGTTCATCATTATTATTATTATTATTAATTATTCCTCGAGCCCGAATGGGCTCTGAGTCTATTGACTCAGGGGCCATGAGGACAAGAGGAATAATTGTTTTAATAAAATCCAACTTGCTGGTCAAAAATCTCGAGACAAAACAACTTTAGCTAGCAAAACACGATTCAGCCGCCATTGTTTTGGCTTTCAAAGCCCGCGCTTTTCGTTACTAGTGGGCTATAACATATAGCCTAGTAGTAGCTCAACCAATCAGAACGCAGTAGTGATAATAGACCACTAGTTGGATTTTATTAAGGGTCTTTATTTGAACCAGACGACGTTTTGGAACAAAGTGTAATAACAGTAAAGCTTTTCATAGCCAGACACTGTCGGTACCGGTTCCAGGGGTTAGCTTTAGAAAGGTGACCAAAGCATCCCATACAGAGTTGCAGTAGTGTCACACAAACAAAAATATTCGTCTGCGACCAGCCTACCGCTTATATATAATAGGTCAGTTTCGTTAATTATTAAATTTCACACTTAGCATCGAGGCTGAGGGGTGTAGAACAAAAGAAAAAGCATTTAAATTCAGAGATAAATAATCAAATCATTTCTTTTGTTACATTTACCTCAGCTTCGGAGCGAAGTATGAATTTTTTTTTTCCGCCGCACTCTCGGGTCCAGTCTTGATCTACCCTGAGGGGAGTAGCGCGGGCTCACTTCCCGCGCCATTTTGGGGGTTGCGGCTGAGACTCACTGGGTCGGTGTTGTGCTGAATTGTACTATGGGACTGTTCTTGGAACGCTATTGCTGCTGTCATTGGCTATTAAAAAGGTGCACAGGAAAGTGGGTCAAAACTTGTACCCCAATACAGTCCCACAGTATTTGACCAATCACCGAGCCAGTCTTAAGCGCCATGTCAAAGTTACAGACAAACAAATCCTTCCAACAATGTTGACCTTACACAGGTGGATATTATACAAGGGTCAAAATACGAATAAACGAGTAAGAGTAGTCTGCGATAAGCCAACCCCTTATTTCCGCCTCCTACAGACTGTCCTCTATTATTTAAGACCCCCGCTTTTAGGGGAAGAAAGTTATTGAGCCCACCCCCTAGTTCTTTATAGGGAATTGATACCATCTTCTGATTGTACAGTAAAATGCCTTCTTTCTCTATTTAGCTCCCTCCCCTCTTCAAACGTGCTCGAAATAAATAAGTCCTTATGGAGGATAAATTAGTGTCTTTACTTCTTAACTGCCGTTTGTGAACTTTACCTGAGAATGTCTGATTACTCAGCCACCGCAAAGCACAGGCCGACACCCAGTAAGACTCTACCAGGGGAGCCACTAATGACTTCAAATACCGCAGTTTTGCCAGTAGTTCGTCGGACTTCGTAAGCTGGCAGAATAAAGAGAGAAAAACAAAAAGACATCAATACCATCATCACCGTCGTTCTGTTCATCATTATCTTCATCATAATCATCATCATCACCAGTATCAGACATCGCCATCCTCCTCATTAGTAAAAAAAAGTCTGAATGTCTTACAATGGTGCGCTTAGCTGATCTGGTTTTGCTGACTGTAATCCTCTTGTTTAAAATCTATCATGACCATTATTAGTGAACTTACGCAATAGGATAGCCTGCGAACGCATTGTGTTTCGCCAAACTCGGCCACTTTCCTTTAAACATGTCTTTGTGTGAAAGTCCAGAAATATTAAGTGAAAATCACGACAAAAAAGCCCTGTCAAGTTTGTCACATACAATCGTTTACCATCCTCTTCTTTCTGCCGTAGCTTGCCGTCCTGATGTGTAAGGTTATTTGAGAGTTTAAGCATCAAGTTTACGTTAGACGGCAAAAAAAAAAACGCGAATTTGTACCACATGACCAAGTTTTCCCTTTACTTGTCGTTTACTTTTCATTATTTCTACACACAAATTAGTAGTTTCATGCAATTTTTTATCCATAAGAATTGTTTTGAGTTTTTTTGTCTGCTTATTTTCTATTTTGAGAAATTCTTAGCTTGAATCTGAAGTTTGCCGTTTACCGTATACGTGAAGCTTAAACTCTCTAGTATTATCATCAACATCAGCATCCTTATCATCATACCCTGCGAGCAAGCTCACCCTCGCCCCTTGAGAGCTTCCTCGTAAGCTATCATCATCATTATCATCAGCTATCAATCATCACTATCGTCGCCATCAACATCGTTGTCATCCTTCATGACATGCGGAACATATAACACAACAATGGACTGACCTTATAATCAACCTCTGGGACATCGATAATGCTCATATCTTCGTCGTGTTCATCGTCCCATCCCCAGTCTCCGCCTCTCGAACCTGCGGTACTTTGCTGTAGAAAATAGATTAACTTGAGTTTAACGTGAGCTTTTCCACAGCCTGTATACAGCCGCATCCTCCTCTCAAATAAAATCAGGGAGAGACGTTGAGCAGCTGTGAATAGGCTATAATCATCGTCAAAAGTTTTAGGAAGGCTACTACTCTAAACCTCCTTTTTCCTTCTTCCTCCTTCCCCTAGACCAATGTTGATCCAAACCTTAGTTTTAAATTGTTCTGTTACATGAATATCCCAACATTGAACAGGGGGGCGGGGGGTCTTTAGCAAAAGGAAAAACCATCTGTTTTGAACGTTAAAATGGCTACTGTAAGTTGTATACAACCTTCCCTACTACTACAGGGAAGAATCTCTTGTGTTCGTGAAATGGGCAAAACAACCAAAATAAATGGCTCCGTAACATATTTTCAGTGTGGACATTGTGATTTCACGGTCTCCTTGGTACTACTTGTTCCGCCAACACGTCCCTCTTGCATGTTCCTGTGAGTGAACTGCACCTGATTTTGTCCCTATTACACGTCGCTGCGAAATCTCCTTGCTAGTGGCCACCCGTGACTCGTATAACATGCATGAACGTACTCACCTGCATAACCTTCAAAGTCTCGCTGGCTGTGAACTTATCCAGTGCTTCTATCAGAGCAGATTCCAGTGAAATGCACGGCTGAAAGAAAAAAAAAACTTGAATAACCAATCCAAAGTGTCACTCCCCAAAATTTACTTTCAAACTGGCTAACGCAAAGAAAATTAAGGTGGTCAAAGTTTTCCCATCCCCAAAGTACCGTATTTACTCGAAAAAGCCCCGCAGTGCTTATGAAATATTTGGACTTGTCGGTAAGCCGCTTATTTCAGGGCGATGGGAGTGGGGCTAATTTAAAACTTCGTGTTTGCGAGTAACACATTACTGCATAAGGTTTATTTCTTTTTCAATATTTTGTTCAAAAGCGATAACAATGGCACAGGAAGAACGTAGTAAAAATGCGTGAAAAATCAGCGATAAGCGATGCATTGTTGCTGTAAGGATACAGCAGTTTAGCTTGCGAGCAAGTTCTCGGAGTGAAGGGGGAGCGGGGGGGAGGGACGAGAGTGGGGGAACTTTCCTGTCCCTTTTTTCCCCAATCATCAACCCCTCCCCTCCTCCCCGCGGAGAGCTTTTTGGACGAAATATTTGTTCCTAGGTGCGGCCTTACTCAAGAAAGGCGTTCTTTCGCGTAAATAAGGTGACCTGTCAAGATGCAAGAAGGTCTAATCGTTGTCAGTGATATTTCAAAGAAAACGCAGTACCCCCTCTTCATTGTTTTTGTCAAAAATTGAAAATCAGAAAACCACTCACCGGCACAAAGATAAACTCTCTCTGAAGAATATCACATAACTGTTTCGTCTTCTCAAGTATCTAAAACGATAAAAAAAGAAATCACAATTGAGATGAGAAAGCTAATTTTTGCACAGCATCAAACGTCTGAGTAGTAGACCTTGTCACGGTTTTCGACACCATCTTGACGAGGAGGCAAACGTGTGAGAAATTACAGTGTTTGTATGAGAATCTAATATCGAATAATTTCCGTAAAACGGCTGTTCTTAAAAAAAATATCAATTGTAAACTAAGCCTACAAAGCAAAAGATTGTCCTAAAAAATCTTGGGGGCGTACCTGTGCTTAAATTTCTCCAGAGGCTTTCTTTAGATTTTCCATATATTTGTCTGTAATTTTCCCGGGACTTTCTTACAGACAAATGTATAGAAAATTTAAAAAAGTGGTTCTAGGTCTTCTAGTGCATGTAACGCCCTCAATATTTTTTCCGTAGAATCCTTAGGAGTGAGACTTTAGTTTACAAATCATATTTTTTTTCAGAACAGCCGTTCTACGGAAATTTTTGGACATTAGATTCTCATAAAGACACTATAATTTCTCACGTTTTTGCCTACTCCTCAAAATGGCGTCAAAAACCGTGACAAGGTCTGTTCTATACATTAGAGAGCTTTAGATTCAAGGAAGAGGACGACCGTACGAGGACAAGATTTCACTTAAGGTGTCTGAACACAGTTTTGGCAGTTTGTGAGTGTGTGTCATTTACCAAATCATGGCAAGAGAAAGGTTGCAGCTCACAATCTGAAACTTGGCAAGTGAAAAAAAACACTGATGAAAAATTTTGATTGACAGGTAAATTTGACCTTTTCCTAGTTTCCATGACAACATGAACGATTGAATACAGCCTTAAAATTTCACTTTTGCTCAGTTTACATAAAATTCGCTCATTAGATTTTCCTATAAACTTGCCCAAAGCTTACTATAATTAATCATTATCACTTGAAACTTATTTTACCAAATTTTAACAGACGGGATTTTAGATACTCAATAATATAATGGTACTGCAACTATTAAATGTATCACAAATTTCGTCTGTTCAACTTCCATTTTAAAGTTCTCATTATTTAAAATACAATAAAAGTAAAAACTCTGCCAAATATCACAAAATTTTAATGAGTAGATCTTTACGCCGCCATTTTTGTTTGTCTAATTTAAACACGCACAGTCACGTTAGTTACCGCTGACCGCCCGCAAAACTGTGTTCAGCCACCTTAAAGGTTTTTCCCTATGCTCAAAAGAGAGACACCCCATAAACCTTCAGTTTACTTTTTTTTTACCATAAAGGTCGACACAGTTATTTTTGTTGAAAGAGGATAAGCCCTCTCCCGATCGCAAAATGGTAAAACTTCTCAACATCTGACAACTTGCCACTACGACATTCTCGCTTAAAATCGTAGTAAAATAACGATGGCTATCACATTTTCCCGCCAAAATGACGCTGGTTCACGCGCGAGCGCTACTTAGTATTGAAAAAATCTCGTTCTCGAAGTCGTACTCCTCTTGGGCCTAGGCAAAACGTCGAACTTTTTATGAGACGAACCAAACTTAGTGAGTTAATTTCATGAAAAGTTCGACGTCTTGCTGAGTTAAGTTCGTCTTAATGAGTTTGGATCGTCCAACACGTTCTATCCGCCTGCAGAGCGTCTGAAGTTCGTCTCCAGGACAAACGTCGATCTTCACATGCGACGAACTAAACTGATAGAAATTAAAAATTTGTATTTCGGGAGAAAATTTATTAAAACTACATTTTGGTCTGATTCAGTTGATCGGTTCGACGCGTCCCCGACGCGATCTGTTCGAACCAAATTAAAGTTTGGTTCGTCTCATGAAAAGTTCGACGTTCGACCTAGGCTTGGCTTAAGGGTGGCTTCTGACTCATGCATGACTGCAAATATTTAAGGTATTGTGCGATGAACATAATCGTTTGAACACTGTTTAACTGTTTTTGCTTAATCAGAAGCAATAAGGTATAAAATGCCCATACCGTTTTCTGAGATACTATTTTCTTTCCATCGATGTCTTCTGAGTCGTATGATTCACTGTCCTCAGCCGCCGCTGTAATACCGCAAGCTGATGATAATAAGAGGTTAGTTTTTCAATGATAATTTCATGCATTATTGTCAACAAATCTTCACTTTCTTTTATAGACATGAAATTATGCAATACTTAAAACAAATCATCATTTTCTTTCACAAACGTACCAAGCACTGAGTCCAAAGCAAACAGCGAAACAACCTGCAATAAAGGAGAACATTCGAATTTAGTCACGCCGTTTGGCATGTCATCAGAAGGCAATTGTGAACTTACGCAAAGGGACGGCAGAAGAAAGAAGACGGCAAACCTTGTCTGACAGGCATGACAATAATTATGATTGAAAACATTTTCTGCCAAACTTCACCTTCCTCTCGTGTAAGCAGATCTTTTGGTAAAAGACCGGAACACAGTAATGTTAAGTGAAGATCGCGACAAAACACGCAAGTAATAGCCCTGTCACGTTTGTCAAACAAATGCGGTTTGCCGTCCTCTTTTTTCTGCTGTCCTTTTGCGTAGAAAGCTTACCACTACAGTCACGCCAGGTCAAGCGTAGCCCTATAGATGCCATTAATGAATCGACTATTTAAAAAAGGAATCCGTTAGTCGTTGCTGCAACCAGTATCAAATTCAAATCTTCATTCCTGCATAAGTAACGAGCAGTGAATTTTTTTACGATAACCTCTCTGTATGCGGTCAGATTGAAAAATCGTTGAATGTCTAAAACTGCTTTGAAGACATTAACATCAATTCAAGAAAACTGAGCAGGCAGAAATTTCATAAGATTCACTGCCCGGCATTACGCATGCAGGAATGCAGAGATGAACCTGAAATCTACAGCAACTATTCAGCTACTAAACGATTCGACTTTCGAACAACAAATTCATTAATAGAATCTGGGGAGCGGGTGCCCTTTCCCTGGCTTGAATGTGATAGCCTGAAAACTTAACACACTATGACTCAGGCTTTATACGAGGGATGGTCCCCCCGGGGCTGATAACTCACTCCTGAGTTCACCTGGTTCGCTGAGCTATGCAGGGTGTCTATGATGAACAGGAAGGAGTTATTAACCTGATTGCTGTAGAAAGTCAGGTTGAGTAAATGCGGTAAAACGAGCTTGGGCTGAATATGAATCTCCATAATAAACTTCTGTACTTCAGTGACTATGACGTCATCGGCCAGTAACCGCAAGGCATGATGGATAATTGCAGCCGTATCCCCAGAGAACCCCACATCCCTGAAAAACGAAGATACAGCGCGTGTTTGAATAAAGTCGTTGATGCGCTTATATTGTTAATTGTATTAAGATTTGAGTATAACAGTTACCTTAGTTAGGTATGTTGAGGGCTAGAAAGAATATAAAAAGACAAAGAAAAGGCCAAAAAAAAAAGGCGGAAAGCGAACGGACTCGTATTTCCAAAGATAGCGAAAAGAACCTTAGGTCGAATAAAGGAAAAAGGGCATCTACTTCATTCCACTACAAACACTACAGTCAAACCTGTGTACAACGGTCACCCTTGGGAAATGGCAAGGTAACCGTAATATACAGGGTGACCGCTATATACAGGTCAACTTTGCAGAAAATATAAGGCAACTGAAATTTTGGGAAGTTGTGCGGTGACCATAATTTACAGGGTGACTGCTATACACAGGGAAGTTATATACAGATGTGGCCGTAATTTCATTTCCGATAACTGCCGCCTCCTCTTCTTCTTTTTTTCTCTCTTTTTCAGTTAGGTTTCGGGCGACCTAAGCATGTCACCTACCTCTCACGCGAAATTATTTCTCCACGCAACCGTCCAAAGGACGCACTCAGTTCTTCAAATGTTGTACCCTTGAAAAACACATAGAAAAAAGCGTCAGTGGAACTTGCAAAGGAAAACTTGATCGCACGCAAACGCTCCCGTCACGAACATAACGGGGAGGAGCGTTACGTGACCACAAAAATACTGAACTGCTGCGTTAACAGGGACTACTTGAAGTACAGCAACTCAAAATGTGAAAAGTTTAAGAAATGGCCTCTAACCTGTCTGTGATTATTTAACAGGAGGAAAGCGACCATGTTTGTGCTCATTACAGCACAGCAATTAACCGCATCTAAGAACCAAAAAATGCGTACATTAGCTGTTTAGTCAGTACACTTAATCTTGGAGTAAGGTATAAATGACACTTTATTTCGATAGGGAACATGTAATTACAGTCAAACACTGTCATTACAACCGTCAAAGACTGTAGGTATGCCGCGTATTTTCAGGTTTCACGAACGAACAAGACAAAAATCGCCACTTGCCAAAAATCAGCATGTTTGTGCAATTTTATGGTCTCAAGGATCTTGGTCAAATTATGAAGTCGTTAGAGCACAACGTTGCTAAAATCTCGCCACCAAACTGCACTAACACGCAGATTATTGGCAAGCGGGCATTTTTTCTCTTGTTCTTTCTGAAGCACAACCATCAATCCTATAATTTAATAAATTTAGCTTTTGTGACGTCATGACTTCTTTGCTCTGTTATTTTTAAAAAGAACCTTTACACTCGATTTAAAGAGAGCAACATAAACTAACCGTAAACGACATGGTAGCCAAGAGCCTTTGTTAGCGCAAAACTCTTGTCATCACCCATGTCACTCAGCGATACGTCCGAGTAGCTCCGCAAGAGAGAGGACCGGGACGAGGAGTTAGCGGTTGCCTTGGCAACTAGGCTAGATGCAAAATCCTTCATGGGCTGTGACAGGTNACAGCAACTCAAAATGTGAAAAGTTTAAGAAATGGCCTCTAACCTGTCTGTGATTATTTAACAGGAGGAAAGCGACCATGTTTGTGCTCATAACAGCACAGCAATTAACCGCATCTAAGAACCAAAAAATGCGTACATTAGCTGTTTAGTCAGTACACTTAATCTTGGAGTAAGGTATAAATGACACTTTATTTCGATAGGGAACATGTAATTACAGTCAAACACTGTCATTACAACCGTCAAAGACTGTAGGTATGCCGCGTATTTTCAGGTTTCACGAACGAACAAGACAAAAATCGCCACTTGCCAAAAATCAGCATGTTTGTGCAATTTTATGGTCTCAAGGATCTTGGTCAAATTATGAAGTCGTTAGAGCACAACGTTGCTAAAATCTCGCCACCAAACTGCACTAACACGCAGATTATTGGCAAGCGGGCATTTTTTTTCTCGTTCTTTCTGAAGCACAACCATCAATCCCATAATTTAATAAATTTAGCTTTTGTGACGTCATGACTTCTTTGCTCTGTTATTTTTAAAAAGAACCTTTACACTCGATTTAAAGACAGCAACATAAACTAACCGTAAACGACATGGTAGCCAAGAGCCTTTGTTAGCGCAAAACTCTTGTCATCACCCATGTCACTCAGCGATACGTCCGAGTAGCTCCGCAAGAGAGAGGACCGGGACGAGGAGTTAGCGGTTGCCTTGGCAACTAGGCTAGATGCAAAATCCTTCATGGGCTGTGACAGGTTCATGGATCGAGAGAACTCCTATTTAAAGGCAAATTATAAAGTTTGTTAACAAGTAACCTCTGTTTCTCACACTTAAGAGGACAATTTTTGGTTTGCAACCACGTGATAAGGAGGCCATGTTGGAGGTCAATACAAAAGTTTTTTTTTTTTTTAGAAGAATTTACATGAAAATAGAGTTTCGTTCCCAGAAGAGAGAAATGCTTTTGTTCTTGACCACCAACATGGCCGCCGTGACGTCAGGTGCAAACCAGCAATATCTGGACCACCGCTGAGATACTGAACTAGCTACGCGGGCTCATTGACGACTGAGGTTAGAAATTCGGCACTTGCCACTGTCCTCTGCAAGAGCTAGAGCCTGTCTTCGCATCAACTGAATCATCTTTGCATCAATTTAATTCAACCTATGGTCCAGTTTTTTTTTTCCAAGACTTTATTACGACATTCGACTGACACTGTTTCCTTTCGTCTGTTGCAACGGATGGCAGCGATGGACATGAATTGAAACTTGAAAAAGCTGGACCAACTTTTTCAAGTTTTAATGCTATGATTGCAAAAATCACCAAGGTTAGTGCTCCCTGCACGAAATTTGTTTGATATTTTCTCCAGAACTCTACAGGAGGATTTTTTGTATGGTTAAAAGTACTGAGTAATGTGGTATGATTTTCCTCGTGGGAATAAAAATTTACTTGTACTGCATTTCAGAGAAATTTCTCAAACAAATCACCGCCCGCTCTTTAACGTTAACGAAGGAAACAAACCTGAAGAGAAAATGGCTGTCCAAAGTCAAGCCTAACATTGCCGTACGTGGTTCTTATGACCCGCCAGATACTCTTGATCGTACTCCAGAAAGACTCCGGTCTTTTTACCTCACCCTGTAACGAGACAATTCTTTAGCGGGTTATTTTCTCTCAGTATTTGAACTAAGAGACTTCAATTCAAGACTCAAACTTCCCCTGGCGTAAACACCGCTAATGTCACTAAATATTACGAAACTAAAGCGGACCTTACCAAAAGTTCGTTTGTATAACCTGAATCCACAACCTGAAAAAATATAAGTTGTTTAAATTAGTAAAAGTTGAAGTTTTAATTTCTTCGGTAAAACAACGAGAAAATGGAGCCAAAGCACGTAACAAAAAAAATGCGATTAACTGCATTTTTATCGGAATTCTTAAAGTAAGAAAAATGGTGTAAAACTGCGAAATACGATGCCAAAGTTAAGCCAGCGAGACTGACCGTAGAATGTTGAAAGTAACATAGCCGTTAAAAGAACGAACAGTTATTCCACGTTGGCAGAACATTGATTTCCGTTCATAAGATCAGAAAAAAAATTAAAGATTTCATTTAATTAGAATCTGGCCCCAGTTTGTTAAAAGGCTGATGACGCTAGCCCCTTCATAAATCTCTATCCAGTGGAGAGTGCAATTGGTTACCACAATTGAATACTTATCCGGTGGATAGTGAGTCATTCTGTGGATAGCATTTTCCAATGCCTGAATAACCGGGGCTTAGTAGTAGTGGCACAGTAGTAGTATAGAAACCGGTTAGGCCTTTTTTCGCGAAGGAATCTCATTAACTTGCGGAATACAGTAACGTCGATAACGTCATAGCCTTTCGTTTTTATCTTACGAATAAAATGCGGAGGAATCTCATTAAAGATAAGGTCATGCCCTTATTTGGGTATGAAGCCACCCGTGACTTAAAATCACTGAAACGTAAAGTAATTATGCACGTTCTATTTGCTGTCGCTTTCTTTGTCCAACAATTGTTAACGTTCCAGTTCTCTGATTCATGGCGCGCAAATTTTGCATAGTACTTAGGGTACAACCAAACCAATTTTTTCCTTTAACCTTCACCAAATGTCCGTTACAAAACAAAGAAGCGAATCCTTGTACAAGAGGGTGGTAGTTTTATTCAAGACCCATTGGTCCCTGCTGTCACAAGCTTACGACTTTTGCTGCTATAAAAGAGGAAACGAAGCTAAAAGTTACTCATTCGAACCTGTCTTCCACCAGCACTGATCGAGATGAAAGTTGTGATGATGAAAGCGAGGATGAAGAACCAAGGATCAAAGATGTTTTGAGTAATCTTTCCAAAGCGGTGTCTAAAGAGTGCGCTTCNATCCGGTGGATAGTGAGTCATTCTGTGGATAGCATTTTCCAATGCCTGAATAACCGGAGCTTAGTAGTAGTGGCACAGTAGTAGTATAGAAACCGGTTAGGCCTTTTTTCGCGAAGGAATCTCATTAACTTGCGGAATACAGTAACGTCGATAACGTCATAGCCTTTTGTTTTTATCTTACGAATAAAATGCGGAGGAATCTCATTAAAGATAAGGTCATGCCCTTATTTGGGTATGAACCACCCGTGACTTAAAATCACCAAAACGTAACGTAATTATGCACGTTCTATTTGCTGTCGCTTTCTTTGTCCAACAATTGTTAACGTTCCAGTTCTCTGATTCTTGGCGCGCAAATTTTGCATAGTACTTAGGGTACAACCAAACCAATTTTTTCCTGTAACCTTCACCAAATGTCTCTTACAAAACAAAGAAGCGAATCCTTGTACAAGAGGGTGGTAGTTTTATTCAAGACCCATTGGTCCCTGCTGTCACAAGCTTACGACTTTTGCTGCTATAAAAGAGGAAACGAAGCTAAAAGTTACTCATTCGAACCTGTCTTCCACCAGCACCGATCGAGATGAAAGTTGTGATGATGAAAGCGAGGATGAAGAACCAAGGATCAAAGATGTTTTGAGTAATCTTTCCAAAGCGGTGTCTAAAGAGTGTGCTTCTGATTTGATACATAGCATGACTGCTTCCAAAAATATTCTATTCTGGATTCCCCGACTTCCCTCGGACAGTTACTTCGAAATAAACGTGTAATTTCCATGACAAACATCGCCGAGCTAGTTGAGTATGCACTACTACCACATAACGATAGCGTGTCCAAACCTCGTGCGTTGAATACGTTCCTAGGTGGAATTACGGAAATAAGAGTCGATAATGGCTTAATCAAGAACAAAAAGGTACTAAGTGATTTGATAGAAAAAAAAAAGGCTACCGAAATTTGCGTGCAAAGAATCTGTGAACCGGAACTTGAACAATGGTTGGACAATGAGAGCGGCAGGAAATAGAAAGAGTATAATTACGTCACGTTACGTTTCAGTTATTTTAAGTCACAGATAAACTACTTTAAAATAGCACATGACCTTATCTTAATGACATTCCAATCCTCTACATTTCATTGATGAGATAAAGACAAATGGCTATGACGTCATCGGCGATAATCTATTCCTCCGCAAGCTAATGAATCGTTCTGCAAAAAAACGGCTGACCGATCCCTTTACAACTACTATTAGTCGTTACCTTTTCATAAGATATGTTAACGGGCACAATATTAACATCTGGTACAACACCTAAAAAAAACATAGTAACATAAGGAAAAAATGTGCAAAAAGTCATTGTAAGTGTATCATGGGCTTACAATGACTTGTAATAACAAATACTGATGACTCTGGCCATTTCAATTTGAAGCCGGCATTAACATTTTCTCGTTACTGGTGACTTTTGACATATGACACCTGGCAGCAGGAAAATTTACCTTCTGTAACTGAATTGACAACCAATGAAAGCAGTCCTGACTTGGGAACCATAGCCTTTCCAGTTCTCGATCGACTACCTTCTGCAATTCACGATAACAACATCACACATTTGTAAGTACTACTAAGTAGTGTTTCCAGCACTACAAGGAGTGTTTTACGAGATATCCAAAAAGCTAGACGTGGGCTGAAAAACAAGGTGCAGCCGTAAAAATATCACTGACACGTTAGAGAGAAATATTCTTCATCACCAACAAATATCTTGAAAGTTACTCAGAGCATTCAGATCCCATCCGAACCCAACCTGCAATCAGGCGGTCCTTCATCAAATCCTTTGTTCTTTCTTCCTTTTTTTCTCCTTTTGTCTTTGCTCCCAATTTCGCGCTTTCTCGAAAAAAAAAAGGAATGTCTGATCTCAGGTTGATCCGAATCCCTTTATAGGAGGCGCTTGCTGTTACTCGCAGCCTAGTTTACGTAAGGCTGCAAATTTGTTCTTTTAATTGGAGGAAGGTGGTACCCTGATCACGATTCATTGCCGGTCGGCGAACATGAATGACTCTTACGTTGCTTTCTAATCAACTTGTGAAACAACTCTCACTTATTAGATAGAGCAATTCTCATACATGTATATTAAACATGAGAACTTCCGGCCTGTTGACTGTAATCTTACTTTGGTACAGAGAAGAGCTTACCCAGGCTAGACACCTTGGCAATCAGTACAAAAAGTCGTTCCCGGGGTCGTTCCACTGACTTACCTATATAAAACTCAAGGTACTGTCCATTCTGAAGTAGCTGCTCCACATACTGAAACACAGATCACAACACATCAAGTCTGAGCTCGGAGAAAATCATAACAGAGAGCATGAGAATACGATTTAACGTAGAATTACTCTTGTCATCACCCATGTCACTCAGCGATACGTCCGAGTAGCTCCGCAAGAGAGAGGACCGGGACGAGGAGTTAGCGGTTGCCTTGGCAACTAGGCTAGATGCAAAATCCTTCATGGGCTGTGACAGGTCCATGGATCGAGAGAACTCCTGTTTAAAGGCAAATATTATGAAGTTTGTTAACAAGTAACCTCTGTTTCTCACACTTAAGAGGACAATTCTTGGTTTGCAACCACGTGATAAGGAGGCCATGTTGGAGATCAATACAAAAGTTTTTTTTTTTTGAGAAGAATTTACATGAAAATAAAGTTTAGTTCCCAGAAGAGAGAAATGCTTTTGTTCTTGAACACCAACATGGCCGCCGTGACGTCACGTGCAAACCAGCAATATCTGGACCACCGCTGAGATACTGAACTAGCTACGCGGGCTCATTGACGACTGAGGTTAGAAATTCGGCACTTGCCAGTGTCTTCTGCAAGAGCTAGAGCTTGTCTTCGCATCAACTGAATTCAAACCATAATGGTTCAATTCACGAGGTTGTATCAAGACTTTATTTAGACATTCGACTGGCACAGTTTCCTTTTGTCTCTTGCAATGGACGCCGACGGCGGACATGAATTGAAACTTGAAAAAGCTGGGCCAACTTTTTCAAGTTTAAATGCTATGCTTGCAAAAATCACCAAGGTTAGTACTCCCTGCATGAAATTTGTTTGATATTTTCTCCAGAACTCTACAGGAGGATTTTGTGTATGGTTAAAAGTACAGAGTAATGTGCTACGATTTTCGTCGTTGGAGTAAAAATTTACTTGTGCTACACCGTCCGCTCTTTAAAGTTAATGAAGGAAACGAACCTGAAGAGAAAATGGCTGTCCAAAGTCAAGCCTAACATTGCCGTACGTGGTTCTTATGACCCGCCAGATACTCTTGATCGTACTCCAGAAAGACTCTGGTCTTTTTACTTCACCCTGTAACGAGACAATTCTTTAGCGGGTTATTTTCTCTCAGTATTTGAACAAAAAGACTCAAATTCAAGACTCAAACTCCTCCTGCCGTAAACATCGCTAATGTCACTGAATACATGTATTATGAAACTAAAGCGGACCTTACCAAAAGTTCGTTTGTATAACCTGAATCCACAACCTGGTAAAATATAAGTTGTTCAAATTGGTAAAAGTTGAAGTTATGAATTCTTAGGTAAAACAAGGAGGAAATGAAGCCAACGCACGTAACAAAAAAAAGGTACGATTAACTGCATATTTTATCGGAATTCCTCAAGTAAGATGTAAAACTGAGAAATACGATGCCAACGTTAAGCCAGCGAGACTGATCATAGAATGTTGAAAGTAACATAACCGTTAAATGAACGGACAGTTATTCCACGTTGGCAGAACATTGATTTCTGTTCGTCAAGATCAGGAAAAAATTAAAGATTTCATTTAATTAGAATCTGGCCCCAGTTTGTTAAAAGGCTGATGACGCTAGCCCCTTCATAAATCTCTATCCAGTGGAGAGCGGAAATTGGTTACCACAATTGAATACTCATCCGGTGGATAGTGAGTCATTCTGTGGATAGCATTTTCCAATGCCTGAATAACCGGAGCTTAGTAGTAGTGGCACAGTAGTAGTATAGAAACCGGTTAGGCCTTTTTTCGCGAAGGAATCTCATTAACTTGCGGAATACAGTAACGTCGATAACGTCATAGCCTTTTGTTTTTATCTTACGAATAAAATGCGGAGGAATCTCATTAAAGATAAGGTCATGCCCTTATTTGGGTATGAACCACCCGTGACTTAAAATCACCAAAACGTAACGTAATTATGCACGTTCTATTTGCTGTCGCTTTCTTTGTCCAACAATTGTTAACGTTCCAGTTCTCTGATTCTTGGCGCGCAAATTTTGCATAGTACTTAGGGTACAACCAAACCAATTTTTTCCTGTAACCTTCACCAAATGTCTCTTACAAAACAAAGAAGCGAATCCTTGTACAAGAGGGTGGTAGTTTTATTCAAGACCCATTGGTCCCTGCTGTCACAAGCTTACGACTTTTGCTGCTATAAAAGAGGAAACGAAGCTAAAAGTTACTCATTCGAACCTGTCTTCCACCAGCACCGATCGAGATGAAAGTTGTGATGATGAAAGCGAGGATGAAGAACCAAGGATCAAAGATGTTTTGAGTAATCTTTCCAAAGCGGTGTCTAAAGAGTGTGCTTCTGATTTGATACATAGCATGACTGCTTCCAAAAATATTCTATTCTGGATTCCCCGACTTCCCTCGGACAGTTACTTCGAAATAAACGTGTAATTTCCATGACAAACATCGCCGAGCTAGTTGAGTATGCACTACTACCACATAACGATAGCGTGTCCAAACCTCGTGCGTTGAATACGTTCCTAGGTGGAATTACGGAAATAAGAGTCGATAATGGCTTAATCAAGAACAAAAAGGTACTAAGTGATTTGATAGAAAAAAAAAGGCTACCGAAATTTGCGTGCAAAGAATCTGTGAACCGGAACTTGAACAATGGTTGGACAATGAGAGCGGCAGGAAATAGAACGAGTATAATGACGTTACGTTACGTTTCAGTGATTTTAAGTCACGGATAAACTACTTTAAAATAGCACATGACCTTATCTTAATGACATTCCAATCCTCTACATTTCATTCATGAGATAAAGACAAATGGCTATGACGTCATCGGCGATAATGTATTCCTCCGCAAGCTAATGAATCGTTCTGCAAAAAAGGCCTGACCGATCCCTATACAACTACTATTAGTCGTTACCTTTTCATAAGATATGTTAACGGGCACAATATTAACATCTGGTACAACACCTAAAAAAAACATAGTAATATAAGGAAAAAATGTGCAAAAAGTCATTGTAAGTGTATCATGGGCTTACAATGACTTGTAATAACAAATACTGATGACTCTGGCCATTTCAATTTGAAGCCGGCATTAACATTTTCTCGTTACTGGTGACTTTTGACATATGACACCTGGCAGCAGGAAAATTTACCTTCTGTAACTGAATTGACAACCAATGAAAGCAGTCCTGACTTGGGAACCATAGCCTTTCCAGTTCTCGATCGACTACCTTCTGCAATTCACGATAACAACATCACACATTTGTAAGTACTACTAAGTAGTGTTTCCAGCACTACAAGGAGTGTTTTACGAGATATCCAAAAAGCTAGACGTGGGCTGAAAAACAAGGTGCCGCCGTAAAAATATCACTGACACGTTAGAGAGAAATATTCTTCATCACCAACAAATATCTTGAAAGTTACTCAGAGCATTCAGATCCCATCCGAACCCGACCTGCAATCAGGCGGTCCTTCATCAAATCCTTTGTTCTTTCTTCCTTTTTTTCTCCTTTTGTCTTTGCTCCCAATTTCGCGCTTTCTCGAAAAAAAAAAAGGAATGCCTGATGTCAGGTTGATCCGAATCCCTTTATAGGAGGCGCTTGCTGTTACTCGCAGCCTAGTTTACGCAAGGCTGCAAATTTGTTCTTTTAATTGGAGGAAGGTGGTACCCTGATCACGATTCATTGCCGGTCGGCGAACATGAATGACTCTTACGTTGCTTTCTAATCAACTTGTGAAACAACTCTCACTTATTAGATAGAGCAATTCTCATACATGTATATTAAACATGAGAACTTCCGGCCTGTTGACTGTAATCTTACTTTGGTACAGAGAAGAGCTTACCCAGGCTAGACACCTTGGCAATCAGTACAAAAAGTCGTTCCCGGGGTCGTTCCACTGACTTACCTATATAAAACTCAAGGTACTGTCCATTCTGAAGTAGCTGCTCCACATACTGAAACACAGATCACAACACATCAAGTCTGAGCTCGGAGAAAATCATAACAGAGAGCATGAGAATACGATTTAACGTAGAATCCTCACCTCTTGTAACACACATTTGTACAGTTCATCTTTTTGTGAGGAATGATCCAGTTTACGCTTGATAAAAAACCCACCGAGGCGTCTCAACATCCAGCTATTGGAAGAAACATGAACAATGTCATGCTCTTGAGTTGCATGTGACAATATTACGATTTTGTATTGAGACAATGTGGTTAAATCATACCTAAAAACTGGAATCCTTAAATTATCTGCAAAATAAAGAGATTTATTAATTCAATAATTAAAAGCCCTTTAAAAAAATAAAGATATGTCATATATCATCCTGTTAGAATCAGGCATTGATTGAAGAGGCCACCTGGAAGACCTCGAGCGGGAATGCTGGATAGAGTGAAGGATGCCGGCCCTTTCGCAGCGGATAGATGCACCTTAGATTGGGAACTATAAGGATGGCCTGCTTGTGGGAACAACACACACACATAGATTGAGAAAATTACTTGTATTAATGGTAATATATTTCGTCATATACATTTAGCCTGCAGATATTGAATTAGATCACCAAATAAAGTGATACTAGTTTTTGCCATGTTTGTATTTTAAATGGTGATTTCATCTGCCTTCCTGATGCATCAAAAGCCCTAAAGACCCAAAACAATTCATGGCAATGCATCCCGTAGGACGCAAAGATCGATCGATCGACCTGAACATGTATACTTGCAGAAATATCCCGTTCGTGTAATTTCTGTGGCAGTTATTGTTGTTTAACCAGACATTTTTATTTTAGCCTTTGTTCTGCTTTAAAATAGAAGGACTATAAATGGAATGTATTTTAATTTCATTATACTGTAATACAAAGTTTTGGAGTCGGTCTTCTGATTAACAGTCTAGTTACAAAAAGGCCAAAGCATTTTCAATTTTGGACTTGATCTTTTTAACTTGGTCTCATTGGTTCTGGACTGAGACTCATGGTTTTTCACAAGAAGAGTGCCAGGACTCAACATAACTACTAAGTCTTGTAACAAAATCACTGTGAATTTCTCCAATTTCTAAATATCGTGCCAATCACTTCAATGTTTGGCCATCCAAATATGGGCAGGGTCAGAGCAATGAGCTCGACCTGGGCTCCCAAAGGTGCCTGGTTTGGGGAATGTATAAATTGTGTAATTTTTACCTCCAGCAGCCACATGTGGAACCTAAATAAACAGAAGAGAGAACTAGTGACTACAGTGTAGAAGATCAAAGGTTCAACTCCAGTTTGGAGTACTCAGAGATTTCTTCTTCCAAGCCCAGCGTGGGTTCTTTGAGCTGAGTTAAGGTTTTCTCTCTAACACCAAAGGTATTTCTCAAAAGGCTATAATTTTGTTTCCTCTCCTCCAAAAAAAATTCCAAAGTTCTAACTATTCCATCTGGAAAATAAAGAAACACATATCTTGTTGCATAGCTGTTTTGTGGGTAAATTGAATAAAATGATTCTCTTTGTTGGATATTTCGCCAACANCCAAAGCATTTTCAATTTTGGACTTGATCTTTTTAACTTGGTCTCATTGGTTCTGGACTGAGACTCATGGTTTTTCACAAGACGAGTGCCAGGACTCAACATAACTACTAAGTCTTGTAACAAAATCACTGTGAATTTCTCCAATTTCTAAATATCGTGCCAATCACTTCAATGTTTGGCCATCCAAATATGGGCAGGGTCAGAGCAATGAGCTCGACCTGGGCTCCCAAAGGTGCCTGGTTTGGGGAATGTATAAATTGTGTAATTTTTACCTCCAGCAGCCACATGTGGAACCTAAATAAACAGAAGAGAGAACTAGTGACTACAGTGTAGAAGATCAAAGGTTCAACTCCAGTTTGGAGTACTCAGAGATTTCTTCTTCCAAGCCCAGCGTGGGTTCTTTGAGCTGAGTTAAGGTTTTCTCTCTAACACCAAAGGTATTTCTCAAAAGGCTATAATTTTGTTTCCTCTCCTCCAAAAAAAATTCCAAAGTTCTAACTATTCCATCTGGAAAATAAAGAAACACATATCTTGTTGCATAGCTGTTTTGTGGGTAAATTGAATAAAATGATTCTCTTTGTTGGATATTTCGCCAACATTGCCTACCTTTATGTCCCTTGTAACAAGGACAAAGGTGAGTAGGAGATAATCCATGTGGCTTTTATGAAGTGGTAAGAACACCAGAGGTCTTTCATCCTGCAAACCAACAGGAAAAAATAAAGTTTTAAAATAATCAATGTAAAAAAGGTGGTTAGACAAAATTATTGGTACGCTGGTTCAGGGTTTTCGGTAGCATTTGGAAGTACCAAAAGCAGAGGTTCAGCTGGTGGAATTGTACTGTTCGTGCTGCAAGTGCAGGGGGAGGGGGAGGGGGAGGGGCAGTTCCAGGGAGCATGTCCCCCTGGAAATTTCTAAATTGAACTCTCTAAAATGCAATTTCCTGCATTTACTGGACTGGAATTGGATAACCAGGAAAGTCTTTTACGGCAAAAAAAAGAAAATGTTCACAATAAAATGAAATATTTGATTTGGCAATTATAATTATTGGTTTGCAGTTGTTTGTTTTTTAGTTGATTCCAAAACGAATTCCAATCAGAAAGAGTGTATGAATCCCTGATGACAAAAGGTAATACACAGATATGTCCAGTCCAGTTGTTGCATTGAATCATCAGAAAAATCAAACAAGAAACGATTTTCACTCAGTCTTAAAAAATACTTATTTCGTGTGCAAACTTCCGGAGATTACTTGTCAAACAACCGGACGTTGCGCCTGGCATCCAGCCTGAAACGAAACCTCTGCTAGTGTAGTAAAAAGGCACTGAACAAGGACTCACACTCAAATTTCCTTTCATATCATACAGTTATCTGTAAAATATGCTGTTTCTGTTTGGCCGTGAGCACACCTCAAAAAGACCTAATAAAGGTGTCTAATAACTCCATGATTCTAGGAAGCACTACAAAACTAAACATGCAGAGGTAAGTTTCCAAATCAGCCTTTTATCTGCAGTTTATCAACTAAGCCCAAATCACAGAAAGTGCAATTCTTGTTACTTCTTTCATTTGTTTGAACGAAAAAGTTGCAAATTTTTCAGCAGCTTTTAGCAATATATGACATATTTTGACTGAGAACAAAATGACTTAGGGACTATTCTAAACAACTAGGAGCATTTACAGTACATCAAAATGTAAAAGACATTGACAAATTTCATTTTTTTTCTTGACAAACAAATGTACACCATGATTGCAGTTACCCACAAAAAGGAAAGTCAGCTAACCTGTGAAGCTTCCCTTAGTATGTCCATTTGTCCATTGTGAATCTGTATGCTAGAGAGTAGCCTTCCAAACAGTTTGAACAAAAACCATGCAGTGAACCTGCATCGTAAAAATACATACAATTGATTAAGAAATGTATTGTGGTTTCATTTTATCTAATTTGCTTTTTCTGGATCAGGATGCATTGAGATATAATGATGAGTTTGAAACAAACTGAGGGTAAATCTATACAGAACATGTACCTCTACGAAATAGCTGTTATCTCCTTAGGTGTAAAATCAAAAACACTCTGCGCGAAAGGGTACTTAAAGCAAATAATATTATTATTATAAACAACCAACAAAAATGGCTGGAGAACAATAATTAAAGCTACAGTTAATGACTTTTTCCTGGCTATTTAAAACTGAGCCCTTGTGTAATTTTTTTCAGTAAAATCTACTGCTATGATGACCAAAACAGGAAATTTCACATTAAAAAAAACTACAAAAAAGCCTTTTCTAAGCATTTGGATCACTATGGGCTAAAAAGCTAAAAATAAAGTGAGTAAAAAGAGGGGGGATTGGGGAGAGCAGTGAAGGAATGAAGTTTCCTTCCTCCCTTCTTCTTTTTTTTTTTCACTTGCTCTTTTTTCATGCATGTTCCACTATCTCAACACCTGGGACATGCTACCCTATCACTTACCACTTCAAAGGTAAGTAAGAGCCTGATATATATACATGTACATTGTAGTAAGTTAGTTTACCAATCACTTAAATTAACCTGATAAATCTTCTGTAAATAACGGCAGCCATTCTGTTATAAATAGTATCAGCTTCTTTTTCAAGTTCTGTAAGTCTCTGTCGCCTTATTTTTTCTGCCTCATTGATATCTTGGTCTACCAAAAGAAGAAAGAAATTTTCACAATTAAAGTAACTAAGTCAATTTGACTTTTTATTAATAAAAATTGCTTTGTACGGTCAGAGCCTTTTTCCAGAGAACCTAATATACCGTATCTATCTATCTATTGACTATGATAGCATGAAAGGCACACAAATAAGAAAAAAAGTGTATGAAATAAAATTATTGATCAAAATGACTTCTTCAGTGTTTTACATCTAGCATTAACTATTTTACCTGATAGAGAATGCTCTTGTAAGACTGGAGTTAGGATACAAGTCTTCACTCTAATAAGTATAATAAAATATGTGTGTATTTAATTTTTGACATCAAATTAAGCTATAAAAGCCCCGTGCAAACGGACGCAAAATTGCATCAGTTTGCACACCCTTGCATGTTGTTGCGTGTTGTTGCACAAAGCCAACAAGTCCCTACATTTCTTTTGCTCCGTGATCACTGAAGTGTAGCGCAACAATGTTGGATCCATTTGCACAGCTCTTCCAACATTGTTGGGGCCATGCACGTGCATTACACATGGTTAACAAAGTCTTGTGGGTTGTATCCTTCCCACGGTGCACTGTAGGTCCCAACATTGTTGGGAGTTGTTGCGTGCATTTGCACACCACTGCCAACATTGTTGCAACAACTCCCAAAGTTTGAGGATAATTACACTGGTGACAACAACCCTTAATTTTTGTTCAAAAAACATGTTAGTGGAAACCAAACCTAAACCAGTAGAATAAAATTTTTACTAAAGAATTTATGAGGAGGTCCTGGGATAAAGAGCCACCTTAATTTCCCAATACCATCCTAACTTTACTAAGAGATTAAGCATTCACCATGCTAAGTGTGTGAAAGTCATGTTTGCTGATGATATGATACTTACCTTGCAGATTGCATGACATTTTGTTTGACGTCAGGATATTCATGACTGATGTTGCAAGCTCTCACAAAGGCTATGTGACAAAAGCTCCTTTTCAACAGGTTATGTCTATTAACAATAGAAAAAACAATCAAGAAAAATAGCAAATTATTATTAAAATATCCTTTGAGAGTGGGGGATATTTATTTTGTTAATTAGCAATATGAAATATACACCTCAATCTACAGTTGTTTCATTAATTTTCAGTTAATAATAAACAGAACCTACTTTTTATAAAGATTCTGGCTCAGAATGTTGTGCATTCCCCATGAAGGTGTGATGTCCTCAAAGAGTTTCTACAGAGAAAAATATTGAAAGTTAAGATCATTTTCATCAAGTTTACTGATGACACATTCAGATCAAGACTCTTTGACTCAATATCAAACAATTTTGGCGTATGAATAATGCAGTTAAGATACGCTTGGAATGGCTTTGATTACAATACCAAGCTTTTTTCATAGCTGAACTCAATGCAAAAGTTGTTGCCTCAAAATTTACAACTTAAAATTTGTGGGGCCTCAAACTGCTTTTTAATTGAGTGCAGCAAATTTAGTTTGGGGTTTGAATCAACAGGCATACAGTGTATACTTCGGCCATTTTAACACTTTAAGCCCCAAGATCCCCATACAAATTCTCCCCACTGATCTTCATACATTTTCTTTGAGAAAACTTAGAGAGGATTTAATTACAGATTGAAGAAGTTCTCCCTTTACTGATCATTACCTTTTCTTTTGATGACGTATTGACAACATTAGGAAAAATTCAATGTTGGTCACCCATGGGACTTAAAGGATAAAGTTGTTTGATATACATGTAAATGTAAGGTAACTGAAAAGTATGACGACTGAACAGTGCCTCAAACTTTAAGGTCATAAGGGTCAGATTAATAGCCTTAACCCTATTCTATCCACAGCCATTACCTTACTCTCTTTACAACATCTGTCACAAGATGCTCCCATAACTGGGCGTCTCCTTTTATAAATAGCAGGGATCACTGCACCAGGCACGTGAAATTTCACCTCTGTTAAAGGCTGGAAACTGAGATCTGCTTGCTAAAGGAAAAAAAAAGAAGTACATTAAGATAAGCAAAAAGCTTATCCCCCAATAAAATTGAGCCACAACATACTGTAAAATTACGAAAATAAGCTCCTCCATGTATAAGCCCCTCCAAATATAAGCACCCCAAACCGGTAACGCAAAAAACCCTCCGTTAAATCGCCCCTCCAAATATAAGCCCCCCCCCGAGGCTTGTACTTGGAAAATTGCCCTCAAATACAACTTAAAACAAAGCAAAAATGGTAAATTTACTTCCAACTATAAGGCTAGCCCAATCGATTTTGAGACGCAAATTTCCCTTCGTAGATAAGCCCCTCCGAATATAAGCCCTTTCCAAAAATAAGCCCCTCAAAAAGGGCCTTTGAAAAATATAAGCCCCGGGGCTTATTTTCGGAATTTTAAGGTATTTGTTGTAGTGAAATAAAAATAATTCAAATAAGAGCATGAACTCTTCTAGTGACTACTTTGAACTACTGGGGAACTACTGGTAAAAATAAAGTGAGAAATCTTGAATTAGAAGTATATGTTGCAGTGAACTTTTTATTTCAGTTAAGTTTTGTTTTTCCTTTGATTTAAATTCATTAGCATACATTACCATACCCAAAAACAATGGAAAAATAAAAATTAACTGAAATAAAAAATTAACTACAACATACGCATTTATTTAAGAAAAATAATTTCCAGACACCTGGTCTGTGATTTCACTGCTTAGGCTCGGTTCAGACACCAAACTTTTTATGAGCCGAACCTAATTCGAATTAAGGTCGACCCAAATTATTTCGACTGGCTGAATTGATTCAGACGCTGACCTTAATTGCAGCTGAACTTAGCTCAAAAGGGGAAAAATGCTTATTTCGGTCAAACAGCTTACAAAATACGTTATGATAATTTATGCGTTAGGTTTGGTACATAAAAAGTTCGGCGTCTTCATCAAAGCCGTTTCAAAATTCCTGGCTGGGCTAGCTGAAAAGAACGGCTGAGCCGTTCCAAGTTGAAACAGGCGTTCCTAATTGATTCAGACACCGAACTTTTCATGTACTTAATTCAATGTATTAGGTTCGGCTCATGAAAAGTTCAGCGTCTGAACCGGGACTTATGGCCTCAGCTGATCACGATCCAAGGTGAAGTGGATAACACTGGATCCACTGGATGAATCACTTTCCAGTGTAGCACATGTAACTGTACACTGTAGAGCTTTATCTGGCCCGTTATTCAAACACTGGATAGCGCTATCCGCTGGATAAATCACTATCCAACGGAATATTATCAGGGAAACCAACTGAGTTATCTAATGGAGGGAGATTTGTCCAGTGCATAGTCTGAGCTATCCGTCTTTTGAAGTATTGGAGCCTGGCCCAGATTTGCAGTTAATTGTTTTTCACTCATATCCATTTATCCACTGTTAAATCTCTAAAGGCGTAAGTATTAGAAAATGCCAAAGCTAAAAGCTACAATAAAGTATAACAAAAGAAGTATACTGTTGCCCCTAATACATAAGATGAGCAGTTGAGGAATACAAAGCACACCTTGTTTTTTCGTTTTCTGGGCCTGAATCTCGAAGGCGCTCTTTGTGGTGCTTGAATATTGTCCCCAAATTTGTCCTGCCATGCTTTTCTTCCAAGATCATTTGCGTCACCGGCTGTATAGATTCCACCGCCTGCAGGGTCGGTACGATTCTGCCATTTCTTGTATACTGCATCAAGATTTTTCATTGTCTCCGCGTCCATGTTTCTGGCTTGCTGTACCTACGATCACGACAACTTCAACTCTCCATTCGGCGCGTGATAGTTAATTAGAAATATAAATATTCTCTGGTAAACCTCGATAGATTCAGTGCGTTTAAGTCGTTTCATCCTCTATATTGTTCCATCTTTGTCTTTCTGTATGAAAAAAAATACATTTGTCAAGACATCTCACAACCGTGTTATGAACTGTGAATCGTTACACACACACGTGAGCGATTGATCACTAGGAGTCTGGGGATTAACTGTTGGTTCCAGTCCTTGCTCGGGTATCGTTGAGTTCGCCACGACCACGACCACCCAGCCAGGCACCCAGCCACCAACTCCAGCCACCGCCTCAGCCTTGGTTAAGCCACCGCCTCCCTTCAGAAAAAAATCGAGGCGGATAGGACTTTCCACAAGTTGCTCGGCAACTTTTTGGCAACTTCTCGTATTTCGAGCAACTTTTTTCCATGTAACTCGAATAACGGACCAATTATCTTAAAGAACGCTTCTAGTGCGAATTTAGTATATCTTTTGGAATTTTAATACTTTGAAAATGTTACTTTTTGGACTAAAAGTTCTTTTAGCTTGCTTTTTTGTGTGTGTGTGTTTTACCCATTAAACCCATTAATTAACCCAGTTTTAGTTTAGCTTAATTGTTTCAGTTTATATTTTACTGATTGTAATCCGGCACCCTATCTAAATTCGCATGACCTGACCTGTACGGTGGCTGTACCATATAAGTCTCTGGCTTTGGCAGCTCTGTGTTTAATAATAATAACAAGTTTGCAGTAAGAAAATTGAATTTTTGATGTTTTAATGACCTTTACGTTTCTTTTTTCAAATCTTATGCTTAGAATGCACACATATAACACGAAGCGGAGCTTCCATTTTCTCGAGATATAGAAGTCTAAAAATGTGCCTAAATATAAACCGCGCTGTGAAAACTCTCCTACTTATCCGCTCTTTAATTCGGGTGTCGTCACGGGACTTGATCGCTCGGGTTTATGGGCTCCTAGGTTGAAGACCATGCAAATTTACCATGCGATAAATTACGTCTGCGTTGTAAGCTGGCAGAATAAAAAGAAAAGAAAGAGAAAAGTTCCAGTTCTTACTTTTTTCGAGGTTCTATTTTCCCTTCCTCGAAAGAAATGATTCTATTTATGTACAGGAAATTTTACTTTATTGACAATACATTTCCGCATCCCAATTTTTGTATGATCTTTTGATGTTAAGAAACTTTAAGAGTGAAATAAAACGTTGTGCTGGACAAAAACGTTTAAAGAGGAAACGAAGGTTTGCTTTGTCAAATAGCGCTAATTTCTTTTCATTTTATGAGTGTGGTAATTTTACTTTTTATACTAAGCGCTCTGGTAGGCTAGAATTCAGTTATAAAGCAGGTTCCTTGCTTTATCGCTCCAATGAAAACAAGTGAAGAGTCAGTCAGGCAAACCGAGAATGCTAATAAATTAATAGATGAAACTTAAGTGATGTAATGGACGTGTTAAACTTCAAAATGGCGACTAAATAAAGCTTCACTGCCGTGAATCTCCAAAACGTATCTAAATGGAAGTATGGTAGAAACCCAAATTCAAGGTAAGTTACTGTAGTTTATTTTATTTGTTATTAGATCAATGAACTAACTGGATAAGTGTTATGTCTAAGGCGGCAGTTTTGACCGGTTACCAGCGAGTCACCTGTTGTCGGATAAATCAGTTTTAAACCTACCAGCCACAAAACATAAACAAATTGGTCAAAGAGGGATTCCACTAATGTCAATCGAAACAATGAAATTCGTTAGCAAAAGCTTAAGTTGTTACAGACTCCTTTATCGTCGTTTTGTGTCCTTCAACCAAGCGAAAAGACTCGACGAACACCCATGATTAAGAATCCTGGCAATGAAAATATATAAACAACACTTTTATCAGATTCGTATAAGGAATACGTACGAGGGAGACGAATTTGTTTACAGATAATTTTGTTCAAGGAGCATTTATATCAATTTCCACTCAGTCTTCGCCCTTTGGTCTTTTTAAATCCACGCTCTGTGTCCACACGGTACTGTATTTACGTTTTAGAGAGGTTGGCTAACAAAGGTCTCCACATTTTATATACAACTAACTGTGCACCTCAGAGTTTTAGGTTCTAGTAGTACTGCATTTCTCAAGAGCTTGAATAGCACGTTGCACTGTTCTCCCAGTCTCTAACCCTGGTCAAAACCCTTGGGACACTAACGCAATAGCTCGATATAATGGGACATTGTCACTCCCTCCTCCTCCCCCCCACCCCCCCGTCCCCATGCAGTGTTAGCATTATGCATTCAAGTTTTGTTTCAACACCATCAACACTGCTTGGGGGAGAGGGGGACAGCAGAAATAGGCTCTAGCTTATAACAACACCCTCAACCTTTTTTAAGAGGTAGAAAATGAGTTAATTTAGCAAAGTGCTTCTTCGTGCCTAATTTCCTCAAGTGTCCCAAAATGTTTTGACCTGGGTTGTCGGATTGGAAGCGGCACATAAACTGCTCATACTTATACTATACGCCAGTAATTAAATTGATAACTGCTTGCTAATCGTGCAGTAAGATCTGGGCAAATGTGGCACTTTCCTCAGTGGTTGGAAGTGTAATATGTTCCTTCGGTAATCAAGCTCACTGAAACGTTTCTTCAATACAAACAAATGTAAACCGGCATCAAAGTTTGAATTATAGTGAAACGTAGTCTTTTTGTCTTTTCCATGCAGTGTGCGTCGTCACGTGACCATCTTACATCAATGGAGAGCCGAACTTGGCAAACAAAATTCCTTAGTTTACTGTTGCAGACATCGAGAAATTAAGAGAGTCCTTTACGAGTAGCATGTCCATCCAAATGTTATAGTAACATAGGTAACCGAGTTATTTATATGGTCGGTCTATTGACCCAAAGAGCATGGACTAAAAATTCTAAGCCTTCTCAAATTTAAGACAGTTCTTGTTGTTTACCTTTCATCATCATGATTGCACTGGAATTTGTAAGTGAGTTGCTTCCCTATGAGTAGAAATTTCATTAATAGATTTTACGGGAAAAAAAGCTCTTTGTACTATAAATTTACATTAAACCATAAGCATGTCTGATAAAAGCTTCTTAAGCTCAGGTGTCTCAACAATCTCTCTTGATTATACCCAGTTCCGCCTTAAAAGAAACATTTAAAATTCAAGGAAGTCATCTGCCCTTAACAGCAGTACTATTGCTTTCATTATAAAGTGCCTAGATCAATGTAACCATCCTTGATTGCCATGATGATGTTGTCAACACTCCACCGATTTTCTGGAAAACCCCTAACAAACCATAAAATAGTTGATACCTTGTCCTGTTCTCCTTTGCATGCTGCAGTTAGGCGTCAGTTGTACTTAGGTGCTCCCGATGATCTGCCTCCAGATCCCATCAGTGGTATCCCAGCACCCATTGTTTTACCATCCGGGGTAGTGCCTGACGCCGGAGCAATACCACCCGCAGGGGCCATCGTACCATCTCCTCTCATCGCCCCTGCACCTGCCATACTACCAGCCAATGCTATAACAGAAGAAAACAGAGCCACTCCAGTGGATAAAGGTTAATTTTAATCACCAAATTCTTCATCTTTAAACCGACTTAGAGGGTCAACAACTCTGTCTCGTGGGATCATGTGTTGACCATCAGCCTTAAACATTAATAGTATTGTGTAAATAACCCTTTCAGTACCAATAGCAGCAAAAATTGATCGACTCTTGAAGGACGTAAAACGGTTACGCAACAACCACCTCTCGAGTCTACCTTCATGCAATGGGTTGTGTGAAGGGTAGGGAATGGCGGTACCTTTCATGGGCCTGTTGGGCCCCCTTCTTGCTCATCCTCACTGAATAGTTTGACATTAAAAGTCATTTAATCAATAGGTAGATTATGGTCTTTTATTTTAGTGTAACATCAACTCTCTCTTAAACTATCTCCTTTAAAGGACGGTCATCTTCTTAAAACGGACATAAGAGTGTCCCTACTGTTCTTCAGTCATTTCCTTTGCTTCTTAGTGAGTTAGGCACCTCCTGAGGCAGATATTAACTTTTTGTCTGAACAGCGTCTTTTCCGGCAAAGTTGCGCAGAGGCCTTCAAGGTCTTCAGGAAATGGGCCCCTTCCCGGTTGCCTTGATAGGAGGGGTCAATAATTCTCATCCCGAGTAAGGCTTAATATTGGTTACCATGTTTCAAAGTTAAAAACCCGAGAGTTGTGTTAAATGTTGAAGAGTAAAGAACAATTTACACTGTCTTGTAGCATCTTCCTTACTTTCCAGCCATGATGACGCGCTGCCCTTGCTACTCGACAAAGTTGTCGACATCTTTTTTACGGTTTCCGATAACCTTGCCAATTTTTATCTCATAAGAGCTCTTTTAATTGGTTTTGCAGAGAAAGCAAAAAGATTCGAGCTTCCTTTCACGTCAGACCCTATGCCTCAACAATGGAATGACGGATTATCACAGGGTGCTTTGTTTGGTCAAGGCCAATTGCCAGACGAGCAAAGTGCCTTTTCCCTTAGTCCAAACCAAATGTTGTCTGATGATTCAAGCTTTACTGGACAAAACAAGGTTATGTCATCATCACCAGAGCAGCTTAATGTTCAAAACGAAATGTTGGGTGATGTAACAAATCGGAATGAACTGGGCACTAACAGCTTGTCAATCCCGCAAGGGCAGTATAACTTAGCCGTTCCGCAATCTAGTGAAAAAGTAGAATTCTATGAACCAAACGAAACAGGAAGTCCCGAAACGCCACCGTACTTGGATTCTCCGTACACAGATACAGGCCCATCTAAAGAAGATCTCCAAAAAATTGAACCACTCTTGGAAAGCGAAAAGTTTTTGACAAATGCAATAATTAAAGACACTTGGCGAGAAGGTGAGCTACTGTTGTGGACGCACTTTTTGAAAAACGTGAATTCTGATAATTAGAAACCCAACTACTATAGCGAAGCAGTAAGCACGATGATGTAGAACTGCATTCATCGGTAGCTGTATTAAAATCCTGAGCAAAAAATTAAAACTTAGATGTTAACAGAGTTTTTTAAACACTAAAAATATAAACGACTGTAAATTGAACATAAATCGACTTATTCTCTGTTTAGGACGTGTTATGGAGAAACAGGTAAATTATCAATCTTTACAACCGAAGATCTTTAGAAAGTTTGAGTCTGCATTGTTGCTTTCATTG